TGTATAAAATACACTTGTCCACAGAAGCAATCAATCAATCAGATTCCAAACTCTCCACCATGGCCAAGACCAAAGAGCTCTCCAAGTGTCACACCCTGGCTCTGGGGACTCTATATGTTGAGCCAGGGTGTGTAGATTCATTGTGTTTGTGTGCTGTGGTTGAGTGTCTAGTTGTTCATTTTCTATGTTGGCCAGAGTGGCTCCCAATCAGAGGCAACGAGTGTCAGCTGTTGCTGGTTGTCTCTGATTGGGAGCCATATTTAAACAGTCTGTTTCCCTTAGTGTTTGTGGGATCTTGTTTCCGTTTGGTTTGTTTCTGTGTTAACCGTAGGACTGCACGTTTCGTTTATTGTTTTGTTGTTATATTATCACTTAAGATAATAAAGTTAAGTATGTTCGCAACCAACGCTGCGCATTGGTCTACTCTCTACGACGATCGTGACAGAAGATCCCACCATACCAGGACCAAGCAGCGTGTCCAGGAGCAGGCAGCCTGGACGTGGGAGCAGATCTTGGACGGGCAGGGGTCCTGGACCTGGGAGGAAATCCAGGCCGGGATGGATCGCCGGCCATGGAAGGAGACGGTAGAGGCGCGACGGAGAGAGGAGCAACGGCGTAAACAGTGTCGTCGTCGGTCGGACGAGAGGCAACCCCAAAAAATTTTTAGGGGGGGGCACACGGCATGGGCGACTAGGCAGCAGGAGGCTGCCACAGGGCGATTTGGGAGATTTGGAGAGGAGGCCACCGGATTTGGGGGGCCAGAAGGCAGGTTGGCGGAGCCTGGATGGAGAGCAGAGCCAACTTCCCGTACTCAGGCATGGCAGCATGGGACTGGGCAGGTTCCGCGGTATGCGGAGCGGCGTACTGTGCCACGAGTGGTCCGGCAAAGTCCGGTACGTCCTGTGCGAGCACCCCGCACGTGTCGTGCGAAGGTGGGCATGCAGCCAGGTCGGAGTGTGCCGGCTCAGCACTCGTGGTCTCCAGTGCCTCTCCTCGGTCCCGGATATCCTGCGCCAGTGTCACGTGCTGTTATGCCAGTACGGGTACACAGCCCTGTGCGTCCTGTGCGGATGCCTCACACAGAGTGTGTGAAGATAGGCATTCAGCCAGGACGGGTTGTGGCCGCTCTTCACTCTAGGTCTCCTATCCGTCTCCACAGCCCGGTCCGGCCTGTTCCTGCCCCTCGCACCAAGCCTACGGTGCGCGTCGCCAGCCCGGCCCGGCCTGTTCCTGCTACTCGCACCAAGCCTACGGTGCGCGTCGCCAGCCCGGCCCGGCCTGTTCCTGCTCCTCGCACCAAGCCTACGGTGCGCGTCGCCAGCCCAGCCCGACCTGTTCCTGCTCCTCGCACCAAGCCTACGGTGCGCGTCGCCAGCCCAGCCCGGCCTGTTCCTGCTCCTCGCACCAAGCCTACGGTGCGCGTCGCCAGCCCGGCCCGGCCTGTTCCTGCCACTCGCACCAAGCCAGGGGTGCGAGTCGTCAGCCCGGTACGGCCCGTTCCTGCTCCACGCACCAAGCCAGGGGTGCGTATCGTCAGCCCGGTCCGGCCCGTTGCTGCTCCACGCACCAAACCAGGGGTGCGCATCATCAGCCCGGTCCGTTTCGTTCCTGCTCCACGCACCAAGCCAGGGGTGCGTATCGTCAGCCCGGTCCGGCCCGTTGCTGCTCCACGCACCAAGCCAGGGGTGCGCATCGTCAGCCCGGTCCGTTCCGTTCCTGCTCCACGCACCAAGCCAGGGGTGCGCGTCGTCAGTCCGGCACAACCCGTGCCTGGGTCACCGGTGCCTGATCAGGTACCGGTCAGCTGCTCCACTACGGAGCTTAAGCAATCCGCTCCTTCGATGTCCAGTCCAGCTCCAGCCAGCGGGGCCAGACCGGACCAGGGGCGCTACGGGGGGATTATTGAAGGGTGGTGGTCAAGCCCGGAGCCGGAACCGCCTCCGAGGAGGAATGCCCACCCAGCCCTCCCCTGTTTGGGTTTTGTTGAGGCGCGGTCGCAGTCCGCGCCTTTGGGGGGGGTACTGTCACACCCTGGCTCTGGGGACTCTATATGTTGAGCCAGGGTGTGTAGATTCATTGTGTTTGTGTGCTGTGGTTGAGTGTCTAGTTGTTCATTTTCTATGTTGGCCAGAGTGGCTCCCAATCAGAGGCAACGAGTGTCAGCTGTTGCTGGTTGTCTCTGATTGGGAGCCATATTTAAACAGTCTGTTTCCCTTAGTGTTTGTGGGATCTTGTTTCCGTTTGGTTTGTTTCTGTGTTAACCGTAGGACTGCACGTTTCGTTTATTGTTTTGTTGTTATATTATCACTTAAGATAATAAAGTTAAGTATGTTCGCAACCAACGCTGCGCATTGGTCTACTCTCTACGACGATCGTGACAGAAGATCCCACCATACCAGGACCAAGCAGCGTGTCCAGGAGCAGGCAGCCTGGACGTGGGAGCAGATCTTGGACGGGCAGGGGTCCTGGACCTGGGAGGAAATCCAGGCCGGGATGGATCGCCGGCCATGGAAGGAGACGGTAGAGGCGCGACGGAGAGAGGAGCAACGGCGTAAACAGTGTCGTCGTCGGTCGGACGAGAGGCAACCCCAAAAAATTTTTAGGGGGGGGCACACGGCATGGGCGACTAGGCAGCAGGAGGCTGCCACAGGGCGATTTGGGAGATTTGGAGAGGAGGCCACCGGATTTGGGGGGCCAGAAGGCAGGTTGGCGGAGCCTGGATGGAGAGCAGAGCCAACTTCCCGTACTCAGGCATGGCAGCATGGGACTGGGCAGGTTCCGCGGTATGCGGAGCGGCGTACTGTGCCACGAGTGGTCCGGCAAAGTCCGGTACGTCCTGTGCGAGCACCCCGCACGTGTCGTGCGAAGGTGGGCATGCAGCCAGGTCGGAGTGTGCCGGCTCAGCACTCGTGGTCTCCAGTGCCTCTCCTCGGTCCCGGATATCCTGCGCCAGTGTCACGTGCTGTTATGCCAGTACGGGTACACAGCCCTGTGCGTCCTGTGCGGATGCCTCACACAGAGTGTGTGAAGATAGGCATTCAGCCAGGACGGGTTGTGGCCGCTCTTCACTCTAGGTCTCCTATCCGTCTCCACAGCCCGGTCCGGCCTGTTCCTGCCCCTCGCACCAAGCCTACGGTGCGCGTCGCCAGCCCGGCCCGGCCTGTTCCTGCTACTCGCACCAAGCCTACGGTGCGCGTCGCCAGCCCGGCCCGGCCTGTTCCTGCTCCTCGCACCAAGCCTACGGTGCGCGTCGCCAGCCCGCATTGGTCTACTCTCTACGACGATCGTGACACCAAGGATGTCAGGGACAAGATTGTAGACCTACACAAGGCTGGAATGGGCTACAAGACCATCGCCAAGCAGCTTGGTGAGAAGGTGACAAAAGTTGGTGAGATTATTCGCAAATGGAAGAAACACAAAATAACTGTCAATCTCCCTTGGCCTGGGGCTCCATGCAAGATCTCACCTCGTAGAGTTGCAATTTAGATTTTTGTCATTTAGCAGACGCTCTTATCCAGAGCGACTTACAGTTAGTGAATACATATATTATTTTTTTATACTTGCCCCCCGTGGGAATCGAACCCACAACCCTGGTGTTGCAAACGCCATGCTCTATCAACTGAGCTACATCCCTGCCGGCCATTATCTCCCCTACCCTGGACGACGCTGGGCCAATTGTGCGCCGCCCCATGGGTCTCCCGGTCGGCTGCGACAGAGCCTGGATTCGAACCTGGATCTCTAGTGGCACAGTTGCACTGCGATGCAGTGCCTTAGACCACTGCGCCACTCAGGAGCCTATGATCATGAGAACGGTGAGGAATCAGCCCAGAACTACACAGGATGATCTTGTCAATGATCTGAGGGCAGCTGGGAACACAGTCACCAAGAAAACAATTGGTAACACAATACGCTGTGAAGGACTGAAATCCTGCAGCGCCCGCAAGGTCCCCCTGCTCAAGAAAGCACATATACATGCCCGTCTGAAGTTTGCCAATGAACATCTGAATGATTCAGAGGAGAACTGGGTGAAAGGGTTGTGGTCAGATGAGACCAAAATTGAGCTCTTTGGCATCAACTCAACTCGCCGTGTTTGGAGGAGGAGGAATGCTGCCTATGACCCCAAGAACACCATCCCCACCGTCAAACATGGAGGTGGAAACATTATGCTTTGGGGGTGTTTTTCTGCTAAGGGGACAGGACTACTTCACCGCATCAAAGGGACGATGGACTTGGCCATGTACCATAAATCTTGGGTGAGAACCTCCTTCCCTCAGCCAGGGCATTGAAAATGTGTCGTGGATGGGTTTTCCAGCATGACAATGACCCAAAACACACGGCCAAGGCAACAAAGGATTGGCTCAAGTAGAAGCACATTAAGGTCCTGGAGTGGCCTAGCCAGTCTCCAGACCTTAATCTCATAGAACATCTGTGGAGGGAGCTGAAGGTTCAAGTTGCCAAACATCAGCCTCGAAACCTTAATGACTTGGAGAAGATCTGCAAAGAGGAATGGGACAAAATCCCTCCTGAGATGTGTGCAAACCTGGTGGCCAACTACAAGAAACGTCTGACCTCTGTGATTGCCAACAAGGGTTTTGCCACCAAGTACTAAGTCATATTTTGCAGAGAGGTCAAATACTTATTTCCCTCATTAAAATGCAAATCAATTTATAACATTTTTGACATGCGTTTTTCTGGATTTTGTTGTTGTTATTCTGTCTCTCACTGTTCAAATAAACCTACCATTAAAATTATAGACTGATCATTTCTTTGTCAGTGGGCAAACGTACAAAATCAGCAGTGGGTCAAATATATTTTTCCCTCACTGTAGGTGTTCTCCTGGTTGGAAACTGACTGGAAAAAGCTGACTGATGTTTAATCTGGAATTCTAAACGACTGTGTTTAAGATGAGAACACTTATTGGCAAATCTAAATGCCTAATGTTTACATTTTAAACACTGACGTTTAGGTTATAAACGTGTCACGTTTCATGGTTTTACAGTGTTCTGTGTCTGACTGACTGTGTTCCGTCCGGCAGGTTTCTGGACGGGAAGCTGGTGGACATCAACAAGGAGTTCCAGCCCTACCTGGGTCAGGGAGGACGCATCCTGGAGATCCGCACGCCCGACATTGAGACCAGCGTGAAAAAGGCTGCCCAGGCCGTGGGCTACACAGAGGGGGCGCTGCTTGCCCTCGCCATCATCATCATCCTCTGCTGCATCCCCGCCATCGTCATCGTCATGGTCACCTACAAACAGTGAGTGCACAACCGCTGTTGTCAAGCTACACGCAACGTGTGTGTATGGTAATGGTTGTCTTTCAAAGCTAGCACTGTAGTTTGTTGAGCGTAAGGAACATTAAACATTATGTCTGGGAGAATATTCTGATGCAATGCATTCTCGTTTCACTCTTCTGGGGTAATTGCATTTTGGTGTGAATAAGTCATGCTGATAACAAAAGAAAAAGCTTATTGAGTTCCTGCAGACATAGCTTGGAGAGCCTGATGCTTTGCATAATACTGTGAGCTAAGAAATAGAGCAGAATTTGTTACTAAGACTCTTATTATTATATTCAGTTGTGAAATAGGCTGAGCTCTTTGATAGGGTGTTTTATCCAAAGCCTGGCTGTTATCTGAATAACTTTGAAGGAATCCCATGAATAATGCACATTGTTTCACCTAAAGCGGTGTGTTTTTCAAAAGGAACCTTAACAACCGCCAAACATTAACATTTTATGGAGTTGCAGGAACATTGCGGCGTCTCACAATTCCCAATTTAATTAATGTTTCTCATTGTGTTGTATTAACAAAATAGGAATGAACTAATTGTATAATCAAGGTTCTGATGTGTTTTCTTTTTCCCTCTGCTCCCCTGTCTCCCGCACTGCCTGGAAAACCATCCACCAGATTCAAAGAGTAAGTAACTGTCCATGTGAAATTAGTGATCTCTCTTTTATGCTCTTGAGCGTACATGCTATATGGTCCTCATAACTAAATAGTCCTTTAAAGATTAAGCAGGGACTCAGAATGACTGTATTAAAATGAGGAGAAAAGTACAAATATTCAAGTTCAAGTCATCCCCTTCAAATGGGCTAAAATCCTCAGTAATTGGGAAAGACAATTACTTTTTTATATCAGAGATTGGCTCTACTATTTTTATCTCAGTAAGTTGAAATTAGCCACATACTGTACTGATGTTCAATCACTTCAATCACCAAAGACATGTAGCCTTCATGGGGAACAAGTGATGAAATGTTATAGAAACAAAGTGCAGTGGATGGACTCAAACTGATTCAACTTTATTTGAACTTCAGGAGACAGGCGGAATGTGCCAAAACTGCCAGGATTCAGCAGGCTCTGCCAGAGGGCAAGTCTGCCGCTCCACGTGCCCCAACAGACAATCTCTATGAGGAACTGGGGGACATCAACATGTAAGTCACCTTTGAACGCTTCCTCCTAACCCCTCACTTCCTGTTTCAGGTACCATGTACCCATGAGTAATGCCTATTTGTGCAGATGATGTAGTATGTGTTAGGACATTGCCTATTTTTCAAACAGCAAAATAATTTATTGACTAAAAAGGCCTTAGTCCAGCAACAATGGACTAACAACAGACATTGGTCTTTAGAGTATGTAATGTTGAGCTTTAGACATTTTGAGGACAGACCCAATGCCTATGCCTAGTCCATATGTAGGATCAAATAGCAAAACAAGAGTGTTTGAGCTTAAACACAACTCAGCTTTGAGAAAGCGGCTAGTCTCCTACACCTGTTCTTGAATATTTTTCATTGATTTAATATTTTTTTTATAACAGTAACTGAGATATGTTATTAAAGTACTATATATCGTTAGAGAATTTGCATTTGAAAATAGTGGTGTAATGTCAGGGGTGCTAGGTAATACACTTTATAAAGGTAAGGCTTAACAGGGTAATTTTTGCTTTCACCAAAAGTGATCCTCCCTTTGTAAACTTTAGAGGTATGGTGCTTCTTTAGATGCTTATAGCTTATATCCTACCATCCCTAAAATGGAAATACCTCTGTGACTGTGCTTTGATTTCTTCAAATCAAATATGATTAGATTTTTGATTTTGTATTAGATGTACTTGGGATGTTTTGAGTGGAGACTTTATATCCTGTCCAAATATTGTCAGCAGTTGAATTGCTGTTCTAAAACTTTTAAATTCAAACAAATTTTTCATCAAATGACTCTGATACTGTATCCACCAGAAGAAAATGAAAATATGTCCTACCCTGCTGCATTACCTTTGAGTTTGAATCACATATTTTATATTATTTCTTACTATAATCATAATACTATGAGTCAAAAAGAGTGAAGGATTCTGCAATAACAGTCTGTAGCACCCTCCTCACCCCTTCTCCTCTGCTTCCTCACCCTTCATCCTTCCTTCACCTGTGTTTCAACTCTTTCTTTTCTCCACCCTCCATCTTCATTCCTAATGGGACAGGGATAAAAAGTCTATGATCGAGGGAGCCGACCGCCAGAGCCGCCTTAACCGCTTCGCCTGTCGCGATATCTCCTTCCGTAGCAACGGATCACTGCACAACAACCTGCCCAAGTCAAAGAGCAACGTCACCTTTCTGTCAGACCACTACCCCATGACCACCACCAACCCACTCTACGACGAAGAAGATGGGAACCTCAGCAGCCCCTATGGGACGGGGAGAGAGGGCTCTTTCTCTCCCTCCCCCTCTGGAGGGTCTGGGAAGGCCTGTACCATCCCGACCAGTCTCTATGGAGGGTCAGAGGCGTATGAGTCGCTGAAGATACAGGCTCTGCTGGACCCGGCCCAGTGGGAGCTGCAGCTGCTCCAGGCGGGGATGAAGGGCCAGGATGGCATGGTGGGTTATGACGTCCAGAGCAGCCGCAGCACAGAGGAGAGCAAGCTGTCGGTCAGAAAGCAGGCCAGGCAGTTTGAACAGCAGGCCATGCAGGAGAGAACCCCCAGGGGAGGGTGTGACTCCAGGGGCTCCCTGACTTCCCTTCCACTACTGTTGAACCGGGACAGCATTGACATGCTGGAGCTGAGTGCGGAGACCCTGTTCTCCATCATGGACCGCCCCTTCAGCCCCATGTCCATAGGGAAGGATGTGCCCACCCGCATCATCATCACCCAGGGGGAAGGCTCCCCGCCCCTGGCTCAGAAGCCCACCCAGCCTGTCCTCAGGAAGTTCAGCTCCAGCATCTCCAGCTACTTCACCGCTGAGCCCTGCGAGTTCACCGTGGAGATCATCCCTGACCTGCCTGAGAATCTGCCAGCTCCCCCTCCTTCTACTCATTCTCCTCCACCTCCTCCTCCTTCTCAATCGCCTCATTCTCGTCCTCCCCCTCCTTCTCCTCCTCCTCCTCCCTCATCTCCTCCCCCTGCACCCTTCAAACCTCACTCCAGCGAGCCTGATCATTCTCACCCTCCCTCTTTCCCTCCCTTTCCCCCTTCTGTCCGGAATCATGCCCCTCCACCACTTCCGTCCCCTTTTTTTCCCGCTTTTTGATGGCCACGCCACACTGTTCAGTTTGTCCCATACTCCCTGCCGCCCTTTTCCTCTCTCCACCCTGTCTCCTCCCATGCCCCTCCCCTCCCAACTCCCCCCCAATCCGAGGACGGAGTGAAGAGGAAGGAGCTAAAGGGGATTCTGAAAAACCTCAAGAACCTCGCTGACATCGAGAAGTCCGTTGCCAACCTTTACAGTCAAGTAGACAAGAATCGTAAGGTGCCGCGATTCGGCCCCCACAAAAAAAGACAGAGGAACCAGAAGGTACTCCGAGACAAAGCAGATCTGGGTCCTGTGAGGAACCAAACCAGCCAAACCTGACCAGCACAGAACCTGTGGTCCTACCAAACTCAACCAAAGACACTAACTCCTCTGAGCTGGAAACAAGCCAACAAAGCACTAATAATGTGACCTCAGAGGTCCAGGAGTCGAGCCAATCAAACCAGTCCAACGCATAGTCTGTGATTGAGGAACTAAGCAATCGCTTTCCATCCCAATCCACCACTTTCTGACTGGCTGACCTCTCCCCTCTTTAGCTCTATTTCATTAATTGTATTTATTTAGTAATGTCATGAACATGCTGTGTTGTATTGGATATTCTCTGTCTGATGTTTTTGTACGTGTTTTCATCAACAAAATAGTTTATTCCCCTAACAAACTTTTATAATAATTGTGTAATCACAACTAACAGCAAGTGGGACCTAAGTAAGTTGAAAGATCCCATAGGTTTTCAGAACCTCTTAAACTGAGGAAAATGTTTAAATATCAAACCTTGTCATTTTCCCAAATGTATAACCTCTTGGCCGTTTCTGTGTCACCAACCATCCTCTATCTTCACCCCCTGTTCTGCCAGAAATATTCCATTAAAGTTCTCAAGGCTTGAGCAATATGTTGAAATGGACCTGCATAAAACATACTCCTTTTACGTTGTACGCCCATACAATAGATTTTTTTAACGAGAGTGGTCTATTATGTTCAATGCTTTTTTTGACAGACAGATTAGAAATAGAGATAGATGAAGAGATGGGAGAAGGAAGGGAGCTCACAGGGATTGAACCCAGGTCTATGTGAAGGTGTGTATAGACCATGTGCATGGATTACTTTAGAGCCTTTATGACTCATTCATACAAACAAATGTATTCTAAACCCACTCTCCCCTGATTGTATTCAATCAGAAGCTTCACATTGTGAGCCTAATGGTTTTTAATTCCCCATGAGTACCCTGGTGAGTGGAGAGCTCTTATTCTTCACAGAGGACAGTACATTCGATCAGAATAGCCATACAATCTATACATGTCACGGAATCAGCCGAGGCTGCCCCTCCTCCTTGCTCGGGCAGGCTTCGGCGTTCGTCGTCCCCGGAGTACTAGCTGCCACCGATCTATGTTTCGGTGTTTGTCTAGTTTGTCCTGATTGTTTTCACCTGTTTCCCATTATGTTATTTATTCCCTTTATAACCCCCTGTCTCTCATTGGTTATTGTGTGTGATTGTTTTCCATGAGGTCGGCAGTGTTCGGGTGTATGCGTATTTTGTTTCCTCCCTGTTTGGAGGTTTTGTTTGTATTTTGATTACTGTGCTAGTAGAGTTCGTCTGCCAGTAGCTCGGTGTCCTGCGCTTGACTTCGCTCACCGCATACACGTCGCCCTGACAGAATCACACACCATTCATGGAGTCAGCAGGAGCGGCGGTGCCAGCTGGATCAATGGTGGAAAGCGTCGAACACCAAGCGGCCATGATCCAGGCTCTCGGCACCGCCATGGAATGGGTGGTGAGCACTATTGAGCGATGGGAAAGAGGGGGGTCTGCCTACGCCTCCTCCAACAATACCACCACCATCGGCGATGCCCATTGCTTCACCTCCGGGGTCCATTGGGATTCGGCTCTCGCTCCCGAGGGCTTATGATGGCACAGCGGCCGGGTGTCAGGGTTTCCTGCTCCAGGTTGAACTCTACCAAGCAACCATCCACCCGGTGCCCTCGGGATACGAGAGCGTGTCCGCCCTCATCTCCTGTCTGTCCGGCAAGGCGCTGGAGTGGGCCAATGCCGAATGGGGGGGAATAGACGCCGCTACTGTCAACTATGCAGAGTTCATCCGCCACTTCAGGGCAGTATTCGATCATCCACCAGAGGGTAAAGCGGCGGGTGAGCGTCTATTCCACCTTAGACAGGGGAGGAGGAGCATACAGGAGTTCGCGCTGGACTTCCGGACGCTGGCTGCCAACGCGGGATGGAATGAGATTGCCCTCATCGACCACTACAGATGTAGCCTGAGGGAGGACGTGCGTCGGGAATTGGCTTGCAGGGACACCAACCTCAGCTTCGACCAACTGGTAGACATGTCCATTCGCCTGGATACCCTGTTGGCTACCCGCGGACGTTCGTATTCAGGGCCGTCCATTCCATCCCCCAGCACTTCCGAGCCGACCCCTATGGAGCTCGGAGGTGCTGGTGCTAGGGAGACCAGGAGAGAGACCAGGAGGGAGGCCGTCCCCTGCACCAACTGTGGCCGCAGCGGACACACTGCTGGTCGGTGCTGGAGAGGGTCTCCTAGGAATCGAGGCAGTAGGTAGCGCACTGATGAGTTATTCCAGGTGAGTAGGCACCCAACTCACCCAGAGCTCTCTGTTGCGCATATGTGTATTAAAGTTGTGTTTCCCGAGGTTCCTCCTCACTCCCAGCATAAGGCGCTAGTAGATTCAGGCGCAGCTGGGAATTTTATCGATCGCCAATTCACCTATAAGTTAGGGATTCCTATTGTACCTGTTGATGTGCCCTTCCCCATCCATGCCCTAGATAGCCGCTCTTTGGGGTCAGGATTGATTAGGGAAGTCACAGCGCCTCTCAGGATGAAAACGCAGGAGGGCCATGAGGAGATACTACGTTTGTATTTGATTGATTCTCCTGCGTTTCCCGTGGTGTTGGGGCTTCCCTGGTTAACATCTCATGACCCCAACATTTCATGGCAACAGAGGGCTCTCAAGGGATGGTCTGATCAGTGTTTCGGGCGGTGTGTAGGTGTTTCCGTAGGGGCAACGACGGTGGAAAGCCAGAACCAAGTTCCCACCATGCACATTCCACCTGAGTATGCCGATTTGGCACTTGCCTTCTTTAAAAAGAAGGCGACTCAATTACCACCTCATCGACAGGGGGATTGTGCGATAGACCTCCAAGTAGGTGCTGCGCTTCCGCGTAGTCATGTGTATCCTCTGTCTCAGGAGGAGACGGCGGCTATGGAGACATACGTCACCGAATCTCTGAGACAGGAATACATACGGCCGTCCACTTCCCCTGCGTCCTCGAGTTAATTTCTTTGTGAAGAAGAAGGATGGGGGTTTACGCCCGTGTATTGATTACTGTGGTCTCAATCAGATCACAATCAAATACAGCTATCCTCTCCCTCCGATTGCTAGTATGACGGAGTCATTACACGGGGCGCAATTCTTCACAAAATTTGATCTCAGGAGCGCGTACAACCTGGTGCGCATTAGGGAGTGAGATGAGTGGAAGACAGCATTCAGTACCACCTCGGGTCACTATGAGTACCTCGTCATGCCATATGGTTTAATGAATGCTCCTTCAGTCTTCCAATCATTTGTGGATGAGATTTTCCGGGCTTGCATGGACAGGGTGTAGTGGTGTATATTGATGACATTCAAATATACTCCGCTACACGAGCCAAGCATGTGTCCCTGGTGCGTCGAGTGCTTGGTAGACTGTTAGAGCATGACCTGTATGCGAAGGCGGAGAAATGTCTGTTCTTCCAGGAGTCCATCTCCTTCCTGGGACATCGGTTGTCCGCGTCAGGGGTGGAGATGGAGATTGACCGCGTTTCTGCCGTGCGTAATTGGCAGACTCCCACCACGGTGAAGGAAGTGCAGCGGTTCTTGGGTTTTGCCAATTACTACCGGAGGTTTATCCGGGGCTTTGGACAGGGAGCAGCTCCCATTACCTCCCTGCTAAAGGGGGGTCTGGTGCGTCTGCAGTGGTCGGCTTAGGCGGACAGGGCGTTTAGACATCTGAAGGACCTGTTTACCTCGGCTCCGGTGCTGGCACATCCGGATCCCTCTTTGGCGTTCCAAGTTGAGGTGGATGCGTCCGAGGCTGGGATCGGCACTGTGTTGTCTCAGCGCTCGGGTACGCCACCAAAACTCCGCCCCTGTGCTTTCTATTCTAAGAAGCTCAGTCCGGCGGAGCGTAATTAAATGACGTGGGGGACAGGGAGCTGTTAGCTGTGGTTCAATCCCTGAAGGTGTGGAGGCATTGGCTTGAGGGGGCTAAACACCCCTTTTCTCATTCTGACTGACCATCGTAACCTGGAGTACATCCGGGCAGCGAGGAGGCTGAACCCTCGCCCGGCAAGGTGGTCTATGTTTCTCTCCCGATTTGTATTTAAGCTCACCTATAGACCAGGGTCACAGAACGCTAAGGCAGACGCCCTGTCCCGACTATATGACACAGAGGAGAGGTCCATTGAGCCCACTCCCATACTCCCGGAGTCTTGTCTGGTGGCACCGGTGGTGTGAGAGGTTGATGCGGACATCGAGCTGGCGTTACGTACCGATCCTACTCCCCACAGTGTCCAGAGGGTCGGAGGTACGTGCCGCTTGAGGTTCGCGATCGATTGATATATTGGGCTCACATGTCACCCTCCTCTGGTCATCCTGGCATTGGTCGGACAGTGCACTGCCTTAGTGGGAAGTACTGGTGGCCCACTTTAGCTAAGGACGTGAGGGTTTATGTTTCCTCCTGCTCGGTGTGCGCCCAGTGTAAGGTGCCTAGACACCTGCACAGAGGGAAGTTACAACCCCTACCCGTTCCACAATGGCCGTGGTCTCACCTATCAGTGGATTTTGTCACGGACCTTCCCCCCTCCCAGGGGAACACGACGATCTTGGTCGTTGTGGATCGGTTTTCGAAGGCCTGCCATCTCATTCCTATGCCAGGTCTCCCTACTGCCCTACAAACTGCTGACGCCCTGTTCACACACGTCTTCCGGCACTACGGGGTGCCTGAGGATATAGTGTCTGATCAGGGTCCCCAGTTCACCTCTAGAGTCTGGAGGGCATTTATGGAACGTCTGGGGGTCTCGATTAGCCTTACCTCAGGTTTTCACCCCGAGAGTAACGGCCTGGTGGAGAGAGTGAACCAGGATGTGGGTAGGTTTCTGAGGTACTATTGCCAGGACCGGCAGGAGGAGTGGTCAGGATATATTCCCTGGGCAGAGATAGCCCAAAACTCACTCCGCCACTCCTCCACTAACCTTACGACTTTCCAGTGTGTGCTAGGTTATCAGCCGGTCCTGGCACCTTGGCATCAGAGC